ACCTGGCATGGATAATACCAGATTACATCTCCAGGAAATTGAACTCCTTTCTACTCTGGGACAAGCAGCTTTCTAAAATGATTATTTGGAGGATACAGTGATAGCTGTTTACTTTTTAAAATCTTTATGCTATATAGAATATTTTGGCTTTACAAAAAATCATTTTCTGTTGCTATCGTAAGGAGATATTTATACTTTCTGAATCTAAAATTTCCCTGCTAAATTCTTGATAAAAATAATCCATATTTTTCCTTTGTAGCTATTGTTGACTTGGGTACCTTACTTTGACATTGGTACCTTACTTTTTTAAAAAATATGACTTAATTTTAGTATACTTCAAACAGAAAATTGCAAAATTAGTACAATCACCAATCACTCAGTTTTATTGAGTGACTAGGTTCATGTACTTAAGAGCAAAATTGGAGAGAGACATGATGAAAACATAGGGGGATAGTGTCTGAGAACTTTTCCAGTGAACCCCAGAATTAGGTTTAGCTGATAACCTCTATCCCTTTAAAAGGAAACATTTTTTAATCAAAAATTTAGTTTTGTATTAAAATTGTGGAAGTGGGTTGTAACAGCATCATGGATTTTTTGTTTTGTTTTATAAGCCGGTGTCCTTTCCCGAAAGTGTTGCCCCGCCCTGTAGCTGCCTGGGTCGCTTTCAGAAGCAGGTGTGGGGGCCTGTGAAAGTGTCACAGGGCTGCGGCAAGTGTCACTGTGGGCTGGGCAACCGCCTCACGTGGTGAGGGAGTTTGGCTGGTTGCACTGCAGGGCCGTCGTTTGAGTTCCTGTGCACCAGTCTCAGCTCCTGGTCCTGCGTCCCGGCCACCACACTCTCCCGGGGAGTGGAGCTCCTCAAACCCTCAGTACCATCCTGACACTTTGTGACTCTCAGTGCCGCACCCCCTCAGACCAACCTGCCCCTCTTCCCCAGCACTCAGAGCTTTGTCTGCCCCTTGCTGTTCCCCCTTACCCGCCTCCTCCCTTTGCCCCCCAGCCCTGGTGCTTGTCCTGGGAGCAGGGAAAGAGGGTGGCTCCTCTGTTCAGGGTTTCTGCAGGGGGTCCCAAAGCCAGTGAGGTCAGTCTGTCCTTCCCGAGCTTTCCTTCTACCTGCTCTAAGCTCTGTGACCACGCGGTATCTAGCTGGGGGGGGGGAGGGGGGGTGGCAGGGGCGTGGGAATGAGGAGCAAACAAAACTGCAAACTCTAAAACTGCCTGATTTTGACTCACAGGTACATATTTTACCTGGGTTTTATTCTTCCTAGCACCATACCTGTATAATCTGTGTAATTATTGGGGTGCTTTATCAAGAGCAGTTTCTTGGGTACTCGACCATTGTATGAAATGCAAGCACAAAAGTTTGTAAGTCTGTAACTGTACCCCACTAATTCACTAATAAAAATTTTTTTTAAAAAGAGCAGTTTCTTTATCAAATCTCAGCACACTGTAGAATATTGCTTTACACATACACACATGCACACAGACACACACATGCACACAGGCATACATATGCACACACACACACACACACACACACACACACACACACACACACACACCATCCAGAACCTCAGTATCTTCTCCACAGCAAGTTAAGGGAGTGAAGGTGCTCTGGATGTTTTTGTGTGAATCACGAGTGTAAGCATAAGCCCCCGGCAGAGATGAGCTGGGCTCCGTTTGAAGTTGGATTAAGGTCTCACTGATCAGGACGTGTCTGCCAAATTATCACGTTAGAAAGCTGCCTGAGTCCTGGAAACACATAATGCCCATATTTAGGGTTTTTACAGGATTAGTCCTATTGTGAAAGAATTTGAGAACATATGTTCCTGTGAAACTGGTGGTGGGGGGAATTTGGTATAAAAAGGTAAGAGTTGCCTTTTACCTCTATGTCCAAAAAAATATTTGTGTGTTTATATTCTGGGTTTTGGAGTAAACAGAAAGTCACCATCTTCTGTCGTAATTTAGTCCTTATTAATTTTTAGAATATTTTCTTACTCTGTTCTTGAAATGAAACATCGAGAACACCCCGTATCTGCTGAGTCCTGGAGAGTGGTTGCTGGTGGGGAGAGGGGGTTGTCTGGGGCCTCAGGCCGAGAGCCGCATCCCAGCATGTAGTTGCCACAACCCAGGGATGCCCCCGGCAGGAGAGAACCCCAAGGTGAGCTGCTGACTGGGGAATGCTGTTGTGTCCTTGGCTGCCCGCTCGTGGTTGTGGCTTTTGGCGAGAAGGGTTGTCCACGTGAAGGTGTAGAGACTCTGGAGTAACTGTTTTCTACTCACTTTTGCTGTAAGATGTGCTAAAACTCCTCCAGAAAAGCAGTCTGCTTGAAAGGTATCTGGGACTGGAGAGATGGTAGCAGGTAGGCACTTGCCTGGAGTGTGGCTAACCCCATCTGTCCTCCCAGCGCTACGTATGGTCCACTGCGCACCGCAGGAGAGATTCCTGGGTTCAGAGCCAGGGGTGAGCTCTAAGTACAGCAGGTGTGGCCCACAAACTAAAAATATATAAATAGTACATCTTCTATATTGAGTGTTTTCTCTCCACTTGAACATGTCTGTGGTCTGTGGAATGTCTTATACTATTAAACATACCCCCCATCAAATTATTTCATAGGACTGGAGTGATAGTACAGCAGGGAGGACGTTTGCCTTGCACAGGGTAGACCCGGGTTCGATCCCCGGCATCCCATAGTGTCTGCCAGGCTCCGCCAGGAGAGATCCCTGAGTGCAGAGCCAGGCGTCAGCCCTGAGCGTCACCAGCTGTGGCCCCAAAACAAAAACAACATCATGTACAAAAAAGAGGTAGAGCAATCTTTCACATTTCAAAAATCTGAGTTGGATTTTTCTTTTTATTTCTACCATGTTTGAGTTTTTATTATTTACATTTTGGTCTTCTATATGTTTTTATATTTATTTGATTTCTTGGAGCAAATGCTTACATTATTTATTTTTCAATAAAAGTATTTCTAACAAAGTCTCTAGACTTTTCTTCTATATACTTTGGCTATCCTAAATTTTGCATGTAAATATACATGTTCACATAGTTAATTTCCTTACAATGTTTAGTTTGGCCTTGAAAACTTGCATCCTGAAATTTTTTATAGAGTGTTTTAAATTTCCAGGTTAGTGTTTCTTTTGATGGAATTTTTTATATATGACAGTTTTTCTTGCATTGTGATTAGAATCTCTAATCCAGGTCACAATCTGCTTTTCAACAGGGACTTAAGGGTGTGCGTTCTCTTGTGTGGGACACCAGGGTTTGTGCTTGTGTGTGTGTTCACTGGTGCTGCCCGTTGGCTCTGTGGTCTGTGATCCTTCTGTCACAGCTGACTAGCTCTGGATAGGGAGGCTGCCCCCTGGGTCCGGCCACACGAAGCTCCTCTAACATTGCATCTTCTTCCTCGGCCCTGCCCCCAGGAGTCTGGAGAGTACTTTGCCACTATCCTTATGTCCATCTGTTTATTCTTCATGTGCCACAAGAATGGAACCGTGTCGCCTCCAGTCCATGCATCAAGTTCGGATGAACTAAGGGCAGCCAGCTTGGCCCCTGACGGGTAGAAGAGCAGCAGGCACTGATGACATGTCTCCGCCCATTGCCAGGGGTGTTGTTGGGACACTGAAAGTAGAAAAATCAGGGGGCGAAGCAAGAGCACAGTGGGCAGGCACTTGCCTTACACAGGGCCCATCCAGGTTTGATCCCCGGCACCCATAGGGTCCCCCGAGCATCACCAGGAGTGATCCCTGAGTGCAGAGCCAAGAGTAACTCCTGAGTATCACTGGGTGTGATCCCCCCGCCAAAGTAGTGGGGGAAAAAAACATACTTTCAAGAGCACAAAAGTGTAAAAGATGTTTTAGTGAACAAACGTTAGCTCGGGCTCATTTCTGTCTGAGAGCTGAAAAGAGAAGCCAGAGTTCAGCCCCAGGGGAGCAGGTCAGGGACCCTCATGCTGCCCCATGCAGGTCCCCCAGGGCCGCTCAGCATCCAGTAATGCATATTGGGAGGGCCCAGGAACTTTGGTGAGCAAGTGCACTCACACACAGACACAACTCTTGACTAGCACTGTTTCCTTTCCCTCTTAGTCCTGAGATATTAACGTAAATGAGAACATAGACCTTTTCAGTGAGTTCAGTCAGGATTGAGGGGCTAAGAGGGGAGAGATGGCTTTTTTTTTTTGAAGGATAAAATAAGTTTTTATTTATAGTCTTATAGTAAAGGGGGAAGCCTTAACTTGCAAGACAATTCTTCGGCAGTATGTACAACATACTTTTTATTTCCATGGAATGGAACCAAACACAGACTGAGACTACAGAGTATACACTAGAAATCAGCAGATGCTGGGGACGGGGTAGGAAAGAGACAAAGAAAATGAGGCCTAAACACACAAAACCCTTCCCTGGGATCCGCTGACGGCAGCCAGACCAGGGCTGGATCACACAATGGGGTAGGTTCCAGGAGGGTCGGGGAGCAGGGTGGGGCAGGGAGGGGTCCGCACTGGGATGTTTAGTACCAGGTAAATTGCTCTTGGTATTTACATACAAAATCAGTTGGCTCTATTTCTTAGAAATACACACGGAAAGAAAGGAAAATTTGATCATTACTTTATGAATCTGTCGCTTTGCAATACCGACATCATCAGAAATAGGGACGATTCATTCAGATTCAAATTTCAGTAGCAGGAAATAAATATCAAAACATTATCACTGGCCCTCAATACAAAAGCTCTACCCCACCCGATTCTCCCTCCCTGTCCCGCCCCCTGGTGGCTCCCTCTCACTGCTGCCACCTGTCCCGCACACATACCACACACGAGTGTCACGCGGCCCTCCCTAAGGCTGGCTGAGAGAAGCAGGAGTGAAACGGGCCATAGACTCTGCGCTGCTCATCTCTTCCTACTTCCTTTATACCACAAACTTCTTCAAGGATCTGGTCTTTCAACAGGAGCAATAAAGAGCTTTTTTTAGGAGGGAAAAATCCTTAAAATGAAGGGGTGAGTCATTCTGATTACTCCGAACAGGTCATCTTCGGAAAGCAGAGCAGTCCAACAGATTCACAAAGTCTATCAGAGGTGAGGGTGACCTGGGAGGAGCGGCCTTGGGGGCTGGGAGGGCAGGAGTCTCCAGGGCACATGCCCGGCAGGGCAGGAGGAGCTGGTGGTGGTCAGGACACCATGTGCTCAGAGGTCCGGCTGGCCGTCTGTCCTCCATAGAAAAAAGCTGCTAAGTTGGGGTGTTTTGGTTTAAAAATTCCTGGTGGGAACGGGGAATCCCTGAAGGGAAAGGTTTTAAAAAATAAAGTGGAAATGGGAAAGGAAAACGAGAGCTGTTGTCCAAGAGCTTCTACAAAAAAAATAAAATTTAAAAAAAAAAGGGAAAAAGAGGGAAAAAAAATAAAGTCTCTTAAATGGTTCTGAGGGTTCTAAAGATGAACTAATAGGAGGATGAGACGACGGAGGAGACAGACAGTTTTTATTGCTGGCCTGCCCCGCCGGAGCTTAGCTGGCCTCCATCCGGAGCTTCTTCCTTCTTTGGGGCTCTTCAGGCTCCGACTCTGAGCTGGAGTCCGAGCCTCCGTCGAAGGCAGAGATGGTGCTGCCCTTGGCGTTGGTGTAGAGGCTGTTGTCTGAGGAGGGGTAGTTGGTCTGCAGCTGGGCACTCGACCTCGCCTTCTCCAGTGCACGGACTTGCTGCTCCAGAAGAGCATTCTGCCGCTTGAGGTCGTCAATATCTTGCTGGTGTGTGTGGTTTTTCCTTCGCATATACTGGATATATTCTGTGGCTTTGTCTAGGATTTGGGCCCGGGATGCCTTCTCTCCTTGGAGTGATGGGACCGAGTCCCGCAGACTGTGAAAGCTGTCTTTGATGTGGTCCCTACGTTTTCGTTCCAGTGCATTATGATGAGCCCGTTTGTCAGCCGCAGATTTAAACCTCGGTTGCTCTTCGTCGCTCTCCACCTCGATGTCATCGTTATCGCTCATTTCCTACGGCCCAGGCAGCGGACACTGCAGCGGCGGCGGGGAAGGGGAAGGGGAGGGGGAAGTCCCCGACAACAACGAGCCGAGTCCCCCCTTCCACACACACACACACACTCACTCACTCACTCACTCACTCGCTCGCTCGCTCGCTCACTCACTCACTCACTCACACACACACACAACACGGGCGAGAACCGCCTCCTCACTGCAGCACCCGGGGAGAGATGGCTTTTGCTTTTTTTGCAGTTTCTTGGGGTGTTTTGTTTTGTCTTGAGGGCCACACCCACTGGTGCTGAGGGCTCACTCTCGGCTCTGCACTCAAGGATCACTCCTGGCAGGGCTCAGAGGACCATATTGGGTGCCAGGGATTGAACCCAGGTTGGCCACGAGTGAGGCAAGTGCCCTCCCCACTGTACTATCTCTCGGGCCTCATGCAGTGCCTTTACTATAATAATGTGATTTAGAGTTCAGATCCCGTTTTACACACCTGGCCAGGTTTGAAGTTCATCAGGGCAGCACGGGACTCGCCGTGAGGCTCCTGGGGGTCTCAGACTAGGGTGTTTGGTCACAACAAAAAGAAATGGGTGATGTGGTTGGGGAACTATTTGAAAGAACATGAACTTCTCAGCAGGCGCCGGGTGCCGAGAGCCCCTGTGCTCTCTGCTCTTGCATGTGTGTTCTCTTCTGTCTCCTGTCTTCCCAGCCCAGTCCTCAGAGGCACACGGACCCGTCTGAGGAGTCTCCACAGGCTTCCTCGTCTGTTTATGCTTCTGTAGCTCCGGGATGGAGGTTCGGCCAGTGAACTCCTGGGGCGTACCAAGATCATTGACAAGAATGTTATGAGAATGACATGAGAGAATATATAGAAACTAGATAAGAGTCTGGCATCGAATGTTTGATGGTTCCCCCACCCCCTCTTTCTCCAGAGAAGGAGAATCGGTCCTCTAAACACTTCCTGTTAGGGGAGATTCTTGACTTCTTTTGCCTTTGCTGTTGAGTTTGTATATCAAGGAGAATTAAGCTACTCTCTTCTGTCAGGTGCTGTGATTCTCGCCCCATCGGTGGCATGCACCCTGCTCCACTGTCTGCCTTCACCTGCAGCTCTGAGTTGCCTTTGCGTGCTGTCAGCTGAAATCCCTTCCCCTGCGGGATCCAGAAAGGCAGTCCGTCATCTCTCCTCATTAATTTTTCCATCACAGATGAGATCTCTCAAATACAATCCGTGCCTTCTGAGGAAAGTTTCCTTTTCGTCACACAGTATTTCTTGGAATAGTGTTCTGTGGTCTTCAGGAATAGTTTGTCTTGAGGGTGATGCTTCGTTACCTCTCCCCCACAGCCCTGGTATCTCTCTTCCTTAACGCTTTGTTGCCTCCTTTTGCATTTGAGAAGCTTTCTGAGGTCGTGAGCATTTTCCCCGAAGTAGCGATTCTGTTTCTTATCATTGAGTCTAAGGTGCTTGCTCACTCGGACTGGGGTGCTACAGTGAACCTGGCCAGCGTGCAGGTGTGTAGCAACTATGTGGAACGCGGCTGCAAACCAGGGGCTAAGCCAGGCGCTCTGAGGTGGCGGGAGGAGTGGCCGAAGCATGGTGACACCCTGTTCATTGCTCACAGTAATTCAGCAGATGGGGTTATGTATGTTTTACAGGCGAGGAAGCAGGGACTCGGAAATATCTGGTGACGGGGTGAGATAGCTAGTAAGTACGTGAGCCGAACTTCAAATACCGCAACCTTTGTTCCTTCCATAATAGCACGTTCCCTCCTGGCACAGCGGCCCACTCCAGCTAGGAGGGCTCACATTTGCTTTCTCCAGTCACCGTCTATTTTCCCCCCTTGTTGGCACCATACTCAGATTTCACTGGCAGGGAGCCAGGTCTGCAGGGAGGAAATTGAAAATAGAGAACGTTAAAATAAACATCACAGCAGTGAGAAACTTCTTGCCAATCGCTGGAGAGCAAGAGAGAAGAACAGATAAGAGGAGGATAAATGTACTAGTTATAATAAAACTTGGGGTATATATGTGTGACCTCTGATATTGATAAATACGACTTAGATTTAGGCAAGATTTAATTATATGCAAGTTTTAAAAGAATGTAAACAAATGTGCGGTCAACTTAAAATTTTAAATGATAGAAAAAGTTTCCATTTATTCATAATGTCAAAATCTGGAAATACTGAAAATGATTCCCATTTCAACAGGAAAATAGATATAGTTCTACAATGAAATACTTAGCAGTGCTGAAGGTAAATACTGCTTTGTCTTTCAAAGTGGATTAATATTATAAACTGTGACAACTAAGTTTTACAAATATTATACAATATATAATCCTAATCATCTAAAGTTTAGAATTATTCAATAGTAAATATAGTTAGAAAGATCTCTGTAGTTAAAAATATGCAGTTAGGAAGAAAATCAACTGAATCATAAACACAAAATTTAATGTTTATCTCAAATTGGGAAGGTGAGGGGGCACAATTATATATATTTTCAAAGTTATACAATTATATACACAGGATTTCTAAAACATTTATAATGTTCTCTTTTTAAACCAGTATTCTTTATTATCATTAATATTAACATAACAATGTAACATTTTTGCTTACAATTTGCATATTATTTATAGAATATATTACTTATATTATTTTAAATTTGTTGTTTTATATCTATATGTGTAAAATACATGCATATAAATGAAATAGTAATAACGATAGTGAAATATTTGTTTCTTAAAAGATTCTTTTCTTAGCTATCTGGAAATTACAGTTAAGAGAAATTGTTCCAGAGACATCACAAATATGTACTACTGTTATTACTAAAGAAGCATAAAAATAGACAACTATCAGGGAGTTCAATGAAAATACTATTTTTTCACTTACCAGCCAACCTAAAGAAGCCAATTTATTTGGATTTCTGAGTAGCATATAATATAATGTGTGGTTTATGGTGGGACGGGACATTGGTTTTGGGTTTTGGTTTTTTGGACCACACCTACTGATGCTCAGGACTCACTCCTGGCTCTGCATTCAGAAATCACTCCTGGTGGTGCCCAGGGGACCACGTGGGATGCCAGGAATGGAACACGGGACAGCCACTTGTAAAGCAAGCGCCCTCCCCTAGTAGCCCCTAAAGTGTGTTATTTTTGAGGCCACAGGCAGCTGTGTGGAAAGGAGTATGCAAAACTAGGGGCTGAGTGTGGGCCTGGCGTATGCAAGGTACATGCTCTGCCTCTGAATAAGCTCTCTATTCCAGGATGATTTCTCTAATGGGAGAACTTTTTAAACAGAAGCCAGATCTCTTACATTTTAATGCTCTGTGAAGCTTTATTTTCTAAAATTTGTGATCCTTTTTATTTGTGGAGACCCAAAATTCCATGAATGGGCCAGAGACGGTACAGGAGGTAAAGGCACTTGTCTTACATGGGCTGCAACTCAGGTTCGAATCCCCAGAACCACCTGTGGTCCCCTGAGCACCAACAGTGTCACTTGAGCACAGAGCCAGGAATGGACCCCATATGTTGCCTAGGTTTGTCCCCCAAAACGGCACAAACACAATTTTTTTTTTAGCTTGAAGGCATTTTTTAAAAATTTTTACTAGTGAAACACCATGAGGTACCATTGTAGATTTACAAAGTTTTGTGCTTGGGTTTCAATTATACAATGATCAAACACCCATCCCTGTACCAGTGTCCATTTTCCACCACCACGGATCCCAGTATCCCTCCCACCCCCCATCCCCCTACCCCACCCTGACTCTGTGGCAGGGAATTCCCTTTTGTTCTCTCTCTCCTTTTGGGTGTTGTGGTTTGCAAAAGAGGCATTGAGTGGCAATCATGACTGGTCTATAGTCTACTTTCAGCATACTTCTCCCATCCTGGGAGGATCCTCCCAACTCCCTTTATTTGGTGCTCTTTTCTCTATCTGAGCTCCCTTTTCCCCTAGAATGTTTTGCTCCATGGCTTGGAGACAAACACAAATTTTTACAATTCTGTCAAAGACTTAGATGAAGAAAACGACATCATTGTGACCAGAAGCTGATGCAAGGAAACAAGACTCCCCTTGTTGGTGACTGGGAGAACCAACACCAAATGACCGTCACACCAGGCATGAGTAGAGCAGTGCAGCCCGCATCCAAAGCCCCTTCACTTTCTGTAGGAAATGATCCCAGTGTCCATTTCTAAATGTCTATTTGAAATCAACCTCCCCAAATAACCACAGCAGTTCTTGGGGGATGTGGGGAGGAAGATGGGAAACTTCTCTCTCCAAATTTCGAGTATATAGCTACAGTAATCCAAATGCTACTGGAAACGTGTTACTGGGTTCCAGGCAGACCCCCAGAGCCAGGGAATAGCGCACCCAGAGATACGCCCTGAGCCCTGCGGACAGTCACTCTGTGACAGGGTCAAGGCACCATGATGTGGAGCAGGGCGGCTCCTCCAACACAAGGTGCAAGGGCACAGGGCAGCCAAAACGGGGAACCAGGATCCTTCCCCCAAACCCGGAACAAATGTTAGCTCAAAGCCGAAGAAAAACCTTGATGTTAGACCTGTTATTCGTCGATTGCCTCGAGAAGGCCCCAGTAACGTCTCCTTCATCCTAGCCCTGAGATTGTATTCAAGGCTCTTTAGGAGAATGAGACCCATCATTGTTACTGGTATTTGGCATATTGGGTACGCCACGGGGAGTTTGCCAGACTCTGCCGTGTGGGCAGGCTACATTCAGTAGCCTGCCAGTTTGTCCAGAGTAGGAATGAGATAATAAGATGGGAGCTGGTTTTTATAGTCTCTGAGTCTTGACCACTGGTGGGATTACATGGCGCCAGGGGGCCAGTTGGTGGGTGTGACCCCCGCCTACTGGAATTTGGAGGATCTGGGTGGAGGATGCTCGGCCCCGATCCGAGTAGGCTTGGAGATCTCGGCCCCGGAACCCGCGTGGCTTTGTCCCTCTGCCAGTACCTTCATGTGTGCGGAGAGTGGTCTCAGCATGGTGGTGGCTGGTCCTGGAGGTCTTCGGCTGCCGGAGCCCTGGTCGGGGTGGGGAGGAAAGCTCAACCCGCTGTGGCTGGAGCGATAGCGCAGCATGTAGGGTGTTTGCCTTGCATGCAGCCGACCCGGGTTCAATTCCCAGCATCCCGTATGGTTCCCCGAACACCGGCAGCGACGTTAGA